CTCAAGGTGCATTCACGTTGCCACATACGGCAGAATTTTTTTCCTTTTTAAGGCTGAATAGTATTTCACAGAACAGTGTCTGACACATAATAGACACTCAACATATGATGGTAATTTTTATAATTCTAGAGAACTGACACAAATGAAATGACAATATAAACTCCATCTGCCAGATTTTCTGATGAAACCGATAATGCTAATTCTATAATGGACTTCAAGTTTTGGGTGATGGAAGTCTAGATTGTTCAGACCAAACTTCCCACTGAAAACTCCTGAAAATGCTGAATCAAATATAGTTAAATTTTTTTCCCAGAGCAACAAAGAGGTAACAACACTATAAGAAATTACCAGTACAAATCTGATAGATGAGAACCAGTGAGTTAAGTGAGCACAGAAGCTGTGTTTGTCCTGAGAGCATTTGCCAATCCCAGCAAGTCTGAATTTATGATTTAATGATCTTACAAGATGAGGAAGCAGAAATCAAAGTCTAGGGCCTGAACAATGTAACCAGTTTAATGGGAGATCCTCCTCATGCTAGGCTGATATCCTGAAGGAATCACCAACAGGGTAGTGGTGAACTAGAAATAATCCAAGCCCAGGAGTCTCAATGCCTAGAGGCGGGGGATAGAAGGGGCCCAGAGAAACTCAGACACGATCTTTGGGTAAAGCGGGCCTAGACTGATAGTCCCCCTAGGTGCCTGCCAGAAGCAAACAGAAACATTATGCATCAATTTATTCCTGTATGTAAACTTTTGATTATGATAACAAGTATATGAAGACATTCAAGGAATTGAAACATCATGAGAACCACTAGAAAAAGACAACAGAAATAGATCCAGAAAGACATTATTATATATCTGTATTATTAGTCATAGACTATAAAAGAGCCTTTTTACTAAAAACCTAAAAGATAACATTGACAATGCATGCAGGAAATACAAAGTTCCAGAGCAAATCTGAAAAAGTCAAATAGAACTTCCAGAGCCAAGAAATACAAGAACAGAAATGAAGAACTCTTGGGCAGCTGGGTGATAGACATTTGGGAGGGTATGTGCTATGCTGAGCGCTGTGAACTCTGTAAGACTGTTGAATCACAGATCTGTACCCCTGAAACAAATAATACATTATATGTTAAAAACAAAAAAGAAGAAGAAGAAGAAGATAGCAGGAGGGGAAGAATGAAGGGGGGGAAATCGGATCAGAGGGGGAGAAGAACCATGAGAGACTATGGACTCTGAAAAACAAACTGAGGGTTCTAGAGGGGAGGGGGTTGGGGGGATGGGTTAGCCTGGTGATGGGTATTAAAGAGGGCACATTCTGCATAGAACACTGGGTGTTATGCACAAACAATGAATCATGGAACACTACAACAAAAACTAATGATGTAATGTATGGTGATTAACATAACATAATAAAAAAAAGAAATGAAGAACTCTTGGTATATAGGTTTAACAGCATATCAGATGGAGCTGCAGAGAGAATAAAGGAAATAGAACATAGTTCATAAAGCAATCCAGAAAAGCATTAAAGACAGACAAAAAGATAAAAAATACATCATAAAGGGTAAGAAACATAGAGGATAAAGCCAGAAAGATGGACACAGGTTTAACAGGAATGCTAGAAGAAAAGCAAGAGGATGGAACAGAGGCTCTCTGAGTAGCAAAGTGAGATTTTTGTTCAGAACTAATGAAAGATACCAATCAGTAATTTAAGAAGTTAAAGGAGTTCCAAAAGCAGCATAAATGAAATTATATTCTACACCTATATTATAACGAAACTTCAGAAAACCAAAGACAAAGAGAAAATAAAGTTACCTTCCCAGAAGTGACACACTGACAAATGATTTTCAATAGCTAGTAAAAGAAGCCAGAAGAGAGTGCAATTATATCTTTAATATTCAAAAAGAAAAAATTGAAACTGCCAAAATCCTATATCCTATAAAAGATACCTTTCAAGAATGAAGCAAAATAGAGTCATCTTCAGACAAACACAAGAACAAAGAAGTATGGTACTGGTGGAACACACTAAATGAAATTCTAAGGATTATACTTAAAGCATAAGGGAAGTAATCCCAGATGTGAGATATAAGGTACAAATAGTACACAGAAACTTATAGGTAAATCTAAGTAAATACAAAATGTATAAAACATCTTGTGAACTTTAAAAATCAAATAGAATTATAATATACAACAATAGCACACAGGTCAGAGAAATGGAGTTCTTTTTTTTAATAATTTTTATTGTTATGTTAATCACCATACCTTACATCATTAGTTTTTGATGTAGTGTTCCATGATTCATTGTTTGTGCATAACACCCAGTGCTCCACGCAGAATGTGCCCTCTTTAATACCCATCACCAGGCTAACCCATCCCCCATCCCCCTCCCCTCTAGAACCCTCAGTTTGTTTCTCAGAGTCCATCGTCTCTCATGGTTCATCTCCCCCTCTGACTTACTCCCCTTCCTTCTTCCCCTCCTGCTATCTTCTTCTTCTTTTTTTTTTCCCTAACATATATTGCATTATTTGTTTCAGAAGTACAGATCCGTGATTCAACAGTCTTGTACAATTCACAGTGCTCACCATAGCACATACCCTCCCCAATGTCTATCACACAGCCACCCAATCCCTCCCACCTGAGAAATGGAGTTTAACTGTTTGAAAGTCCTTGCATTGTCTAAGAAAACAGTAAAACCATCTTTTAATTTTAGACTTTAATAAGTATGATTAATGACATTTCTAAAAGTAATTTCTGAAAGATGAGAAAAAGAATTATAACTTTACTTAGAACAAGGAAAAAGTGAAATGATAAAATTATCAATCCTTAAAAAGGCAAGAAAGAACAGAAAAACACATGGTATGTGTAAAATCAATAGCAAACACAGGATATGAAGGGAGATTTAAGCCCAAATATTTAATATCATATAATATGGCTTATAAACTATTTGGTATTAAATGTAAAATGACTAAATGCTCCATTAAAAACACAAAGATTGTCAAATTGGATAAAAATTAAAATCCAGTATATAATCCTGTTTGAAGAGGCATATCTACAATATAAAAATAAGTACAGTTTAAGGTAAAAGAGTGGAAGAAAATGCACAATTTAAAAATTGTGCATCAGGGGCTCCTGGGTGGTTCAGTCAGTTGCATGTCCAACTCTTGATCTTAGAGTTGAGTTCAAGCCTCACATTGAGCTCCAGTGTGGCATCCCCTTAAAAATATATTGTGTGCATCAAATAGCAAAGGCTCAAATAATATAAAGCAAAAATAGATGTAACTGTGAGAACTAGAAAAATCTACAAGCACAGCAGATTTTATCACACCTCTCATAGTAATATAGAGTATATAGACTACAATAATTACTTCTAACAAACAATTAGAATATATAGAAAAGACAGCTGGATAAAAACACTGACAAGCCTATTACAAGAATGATAATAAAAAGACAAGAGAATATACAGAAAGCCAGTATCAAATAGAAAGGAGGAACATCACTATAGATGCTGGGGAAATTCCATAAAACTACCATTAAGAAGTTAATGCTTATGAACCTCAAATTTTAGTTTATTTAATTTATGTTTTATTTTTTGAGAGAGAGAGTATGCACGTGTGCAAGTGGTCGGGGGGAGGGGGAGAGGGAGAGGGAGAGAGAGAATCTTAAGTAGGCTCCACTCTCAACAAGGAGCCCAACACGGGTACAATCTGACAACCCTAAGATGACCTGAGCCAAAATCAAGAGCTGGATGCTTAACCGACTGAGCCGCCCAGGTGCCCCCATGAACCTCAAATTTTAGATAAAATAGATGCATATATATAAAAATATAACTTACTAAACCTGACTCAAGAAAGAGTAAACCTAAAGAACCTTGTAACTATTAAAAATAATTGAATAGTGTTATAGTGATATAACCATACAATGAAATACTATAAGCAATATAATACTGAATGAACAAAAACCAAGTTGCCAAGAAGACATAATGTGATTTTATCCATATAAAGTTCAAACCAGAAAAAACTAAATTGTATTACTTAGAGAAGCACACATAGGTGGTAAAACCAAAAATAAATGCAAGGAAGTGTATACCATAAAAACTGGGATACATTTACACCTAGAATAATTAAGAAGTAATGTTGGCAATGTTCTTTCTTGACATGAAGGTAGTTATGCATATATTCATCTCATAATTATTTGTTACATTGTACATTTACGTTTTAAGAACGTTTCTGTATTTTTAATGTAATTTTTAGTGCAAAATCTAAAAATATTCTTGTAAAATCATCTATTTCATCAGTATGGAGTCACCCACCTTTACAACAATAAGTATAAGTAAGGTTGTACATAATTTTATATATTCTCCTTCAGAAAATGGACAAGAATAAATAACTCAAATTATATTTCTAAACTACTTTGCCATTACCACTCTGTATTTTTCCTTATAGGTAAAATAATCTGGGAGAATGGAGAATACTCTTGTTAAATTTTACAAATCTTTCTAATCACTTAGCTCCCTTCTTCAACGTGTTATATTATTTTTTTAGATAAACTACAACTACCAGTATCACCCAGAGAGAAAAGGGTTCAGATTAATTCAGCCCTACCTTCTCCTATATTCTCTGTTTCTACCAACAGGAGGGTTGGCTTCCTCAATTTCAACTTCAAAAATAAGACAGGTCTTCGACTGCCAACTAGAGGGGTGGTAAAGTAATCAATTTCAAGTCAAAGACAAAGATTCAGAATACACAAAATCTTTCTATCCTCACTAAGCTAGCCTCACAAACAAATCTCTGGCAAATGGCATGGAAAAAGAAAAACAATTTTTTTTTCTCTTTAAGGGAAAAGGAATAGACATATTAGAAAAAACCCACAGATAAACGCATGCCTACATTATTTAAGCCAACATCCGCTTCAGAGGAGCATATTAAAATTAGAAATTATTACTGTCACCACGTTATCTATTAACATAACATATGTAATAAGTAAAATATAGACTATACTCACCATTTCCATTAATAGACAGATTATGGGTCTTGAAACTATCCTCAGCACTTTCCAAGGTCAGAGTAGTATGAGCCAGCAAATTATACTTTGCACCACTAGTAATAGGGAGAAATAAGACATACTTTGAGTATTTTAGTATATTTTCTACTACATAAAATATTTAGATGTTCAATAACAGAAAATAAACAACCTGATTGAAAAACAGGCTGAGGTCTTTAATAGATATTTCTCCAAAGAAGATATACAAATGGCCAATAAAAACATGAAAATGCTTAAGATCACGAATCATTAGAAAATGCAAATCAAATCCACAATGAGCAGGGCGCCTGGGTGGCTCAGTCAATTGAACATCTGACTCTCATTTTCAGCTCAGGTCATTATCTCAGAGTTGTTAGATTGAGCCCCGCATCCACCTCTGTGTTCAGCACAAAGTCTGCTTGAGATTCTCTGGCTCTCGCTCTGCCCTGCCCCACATTACGTACAAGCGCGTGTGCTCTTTCTCTCAAATAAATAAATATTTTAATATTTAAATAAAAAAATACAAGGAGGGGGCGGAGCAAGATGGCGGAGGAGTAGGAGACCTAGATTTAGTCTGGTCTCAGGAATTCAGCTGAATAGGGATCAAACCATTCTGAACACCTATGAACTCAACAGATCGAAGAGGAGAGTAGCAACAACTCTCTTAACAGAGAAGCGACCACTTTCTGGAAGGTGGGATGTGCGGAGAAGTGAATCCAAGGCGATATTCGGGAGGATAGACGGCGGGGGAGGGGGGCTCGGCCGGCCGCTTCTGGCAAGTGATAGAGCCGCAGAGCACAAAATCGGAACTTTTAGAAGTCGGCTCTGCTGAAGGACATTGCTGCAGTGCCTAAGCGGGGGGTGGAATCCTCCCGGGACAGTGTGGTCTCAGGACCCTTGGGGCCACAGAAAGACCGGGGGTGCCTGAGTGCGGCAGAGCTCCCATGTATCGGAGCGGGGAAGCCAGCTGCAGAGACGAAGCCGAGGCGTGGGCTCTCAGCTCAGGGTGGCCATAAACTGTAATCCACTGCCCAGTCAGGCCACTGCTCCTGCAGCAGGGGCTCAACAAGCGGCAGAGCTGGGGAGACTCCCCTTTCTCCCCTGGGAGGAGCGGCGCGGGAACACACCGCAGGGATCTGCTGGGTTTGGAGACTCCACACGGGGTCGGGTGCTAGAGACAGAAACGCTCGGTCACAGGCCGGGTGAGCACGGAGTGTGGCCAGAGACCAGGGAGACGGGAGTGACTGCTTTTCTCTGGGGGCGCACTGAAGAGCGGGACCCTGAGTTCTCAGCTCCTCCGGGTGGAGATTGGGAGGCCACCATTTTCACCCTGATCCTCCAAAGCTGTACCGAGAGCTTGCAGGGAACAAAAGCTCCTGAGAGCAAACCCGAGCAGCTTGCTTAGCCCGGAGAACAAGGGCGGGGCAATTCAGCCTCCGGCAAAGACATTTGGAAACCACGGCAACAGGCCCTTCCCCCAGAAGATCAGCACGAACAGCCAGCAAGCCAAGACCAAGTTTACCGATCAAGGAGAACGGGAGAACTCCAGCGCTAGGGGAATACTGCACATAGAATTCATGGCTTTTTTTTTTACCATAATTCATTAGTTCATCAAAGTTAATTTTTTAACTGTTTTTTTTTTAATTTTTCTTTTTCCCTTTTTCGACCAGCATCTTATCAATCCTTTTTAAAAAAAAAAACAAACATTTTTTTACTTTTCATTTTTAGAGTCATATTTTATCCCTTCATAGTAGTTACCCTTATTTTTGGCATATATATATATATATATGTTGTTCTCTCTTTAAAATTTTGAGATACAGTTTCTTCTAACAGATCAAAATATACCCTAAATCACTAGTGTATGGCTTTCTTATACTCTCCTGCCTGATCACATTCTCTCCCTTTTTTCTTTTTTTTTTTTTTTAAATCTTCTTTTTTTTTTCAAACAACTTATCTTGTCAATTCTTTTTATAAAATTTTTTATAATTTTCATCTTTACAGTCATCTTCCATCCCTTCATTGTATCAACCCTTATTTTGTACATATATGTGTCTTTCTTCCTTTAAATTTTAGGAGGCACTTTTTTCTAACAGACCAAAATACACCCAAAATCTAGTGTGTGGCACTGATCTATGCACTAGCCTGATCATATTTGATCATATTCTGCCTTTTTTGTATTGTTCTGTTTCTGTTTTTATCTTTCTTTTTCTTTTTTCCTCTTTCTTTTTTCTTTCTTCCCCTTTCTCTTCCCCTGGTTTCAGGTCCTTTCTGATTTGTATACAGTATATTTGCTGGGGACGTTGTTAACTGGTTAGCATTTTGTTCTCTCATTCATCTATTCCCCTCTGGACAAAATGACAAGACGAAAAAAATCACCTCAGCAAAAAGAACAAGAGGTAGTACCATCAGCCAGGGACCTACTCAATACGGACATTAGTACGATGTCGGACCTAGAGTTCAGAATCATGACTTTAAAGATACTAGCTGGGCTTGAAAAAAGTCTGGAAGTTATTAGAGAAACCCTTTCTGGAGAAATAAAAGAACTAAAATCTAACCAAGTCGAAATCAAAAAGGCTATTGATGAGGTACAATCAAAAATGGGGGCACTAACTGCTAGGATAAATGAGGCAGAAGAGAGAATCAGTGATATAGAAGACCAAATGATGGAAAACAAAGAGGCTGAGAAAAAGAGAGATAAACAACTACAGGATCACGAGGGCAGAATTCGAGAGAGAACTGATACGATAAGACAAAACATTAGAATAATTGGGATCCCAGAAGAAGAAGAAAGAGAGAGAGGGGCAGAAGGTATATTGGAGCAAATAATAGCAGAGAACTTCCCTAATGTGAGGAAGGAAACAGGCATCAAATCCAGGAGGCACAGAGAACCCCTCTCAAAATCAATAATAATAGGCCAACACCCCAACATCTAATAGTAAAACTTACGAGTCTCAGAGACAAAGAGAAAATCCTGAAAGCAGCTCGGGAGAAGAGATATGTAACCTACAATGGTAGAAACATTAGATGGGCAACAGACCTATCCACAGAGACCTGGCAGGCCAGGAAGGACTGGCAAGATATCTTCAGAGCACTAAATGAGAAAAATATGCAGCCAAGAATACTATAGCCAGTTAGGCTGTCATTGAAAATAGAAGGAGAGATAAAAAGCTTCCACAACAAACAAAAACCAAAGGAATTTGCAAACATGAAACCAGCCCTCCAAGAAATATTGAAAGGGGTCCTCTAAGCAAAGAGAGAGCCTAAAAGCAGCATAGATCAGAAAGGAACACAGACAATATACAGTAACAGTCACCTTACAGGCAATACAATGGCACTAAATTCATACCTTTCAATAGTTACCCTGAATGTAAATGGGCTAAATGCCCCAATCAAAAGACACAGGCTATCAGATTGGATTAAAACACAAGACCCATCAATATGCTGTCTGCAAGAGACTCATTTTAGACCCAAAGACACCCCCAGATTGAAAGTGAGGGGGTGGAAAACAATTTACCATGCTAATGGACACCAAAAGAAAGCTGGGGTGGCAATCCTTATATCAGACAAATTAGATTTTAAAACAAAGACGGTAATAAGAGATGAGGAAGGACACTATATCCTACTTAAAGGGTCTATCCAACAAGAAGATCTAACAATTGTAAATATCTATGCCCCGAACATGGGAGCAGCCAATTATATAAGGCAATTAATAACAAAAGTGAAGAAACACATTGACAACAATACAATAATAGTGGGGGACTTCAACATCCCCCTGACTGAAATGGACAGAGCATCTAAGCAAAAGCTCAACAAGGAAATTGAATGACACACTGGACCAAATGGACTTCACAGACATATTCAGAACATTCCATCCCAAAGCAACGGAATACACATTCTTCTCTAGTGCCATGGAACATTCTCCAGAATTGATCACATCCTAGGTCACAAATCAGGTCTCAACCAGTACCAAAAGATTGGGATTATTCCCTGCATATTTTCAGACTACAATGCTTTGAAACTAGAACTCAATCACAAGAGGAAAGTCGGAAAGAACTCAAATACATGGAGGCTAAAGAGCATCCTACTAAAGAATGAATGGGTCAACCAGGAAATTAAAGAAGAATTTAAAAAATTCATGGAAACCAATGAAAATGAAAACACAACTGTTCAAAATCTTTGGGATACAAAAAGGTAGTCCTGAGAAGAAAGTATATAGCAACACAAGCCCTTCTCAAGAAACAAGAAAGTTCTCAAATACACAACCCAACCCTACACCTAAAGGAGCTGGAGAAAGAACAGCAAAAAAAGCATAAACCCAGCAGGAGAAGAGAAATAATAAAGATCAGAGCAGAAAGCAATGAAATAGAAACCAAAAGAACAGTAGAACAGATCAACGAAACTAGGAGCTGGTTCTTTGAAAGAATTAACAAGATTAATAAACCCCTGGCCAGACTTATCAAAAAGAAAAGAGAAATGACCCAAATCAACAAAATCATGAATGAAAGAGGAGAGATCACAACCAACACCAAAGAAATACAAACAATTATAAGAACATATTATGAGCAACTCTATGCCAGCAAATTAGATAACCTGGAAGAAATGGGTGCATTCCTAGAGATGTATCAACTACCAAAATTGAACCAGGAAGAAATAGAAAACCTGAACAGACCTATAGCCACTAAGGAAATTGAAGCAGTCATCAAAAATCTCCAAGAAACAAAAGCCCGGGGCCAGATGGCTTCCCAGGGGAATTCTACCAAACATTTAAAGAAGAATGAGTACCTATTCTCCTGAAACTGTTCCAAAAAATAGAAATGGAAGGAAAACTTCCAAACTCATATTATGAGGCCACCATTACCTTGATCCCCAAACCAGACAAAGACCCCATCAAAAGGGAGAATTACAGACCAATATCCTTGATGAACATGGATGCAAAAATTCTCACCAAAATACTAGCCAATAGGATCCAACAGTACATTAAAAGGATTATTCACCACGACCAAGTGGGATTTATCCCTGGGCTGCAAGGTCTGGTTCAACATCCGCAAATCAAACAACGTGATACAATACATTAAAA